GTTATTGCCCGCAAGAATCGTTCCTATGGGAGGACCTCGAGTACTTTGTAAGTGAAGAAAATCTTGGGGTCTCTGTCATGTTTCTTCTTGTCTGGTCGCTTTTAAGCACAAGGGAGCTATCCCGAAAAATGCTGTTTTGAGAAAATCGAAGGAAAAGTTTTTGCCCCTTGTTCAGTTTTTTTAAAAGACGAAGAGAGTTTTCTTTATAACCAAACAAATATACACACCAATGAAACCAAACTTCTCCTATAGGTAGGGCAATTCCCACTTTTGGTGTGGGTCAAGATTTCTGGAAACCCCCAAAATCTGGGTTAGCCCGCTTGTCCTTAAAAGCGACCATCTCATTTCATTAGTTTTTTTGGTTCTATTTTGCTTGCTTGAGGCCATTCCCAAAGGGGGGATATTAACACGTTCTCACGCACAGTAGAATTGTAAATAGGCTGATTTATCAATGTCATGCTCATACTGTGCCGGAGCAACACAGGAGGAACTGCTGCTTTTTCTTTCCTCATCCTTGCTTTCGTCACTTATCCTCTACTTGTTTTGTATGTTTGTCACTCTCTTTTGAAATGCTATTTCCGGGGTGCCTTTATAGTCGAAGCAGACATTGTGCTGTTGAAGTTAGAGAGGTGAACAGAAGTAAGCCTGATTCTCTATTTGGACTTCTTAGCTATATTCCCCCCCCCCACCTTTTCACTAGTGGTGAATGGCTGGTCTAGAAAAATGTTTTGGTTGTTCCTTGTTGGTGGTTGGTAGCCAATCTGGTGTAGTTTGCTCCGTCTTTCCCATCAAACGCTTGTCGTCTTTATCTCTCCTCTTTTTCTTTGTAAGTTCCTCTAGCAGCACCTCTAATCTTCTGCATGTATATGGCCTATTTGGGTTGCAAGTGCTGTAAAAAAAACCTCTCTCTTAAACCAAACTGTGTGGGTGGTTGGCGGGTGCTCTGGTGTGGTTTGCTCCTTCTTTCCTATCAAACATCTATCGTCCTTATCTCCCCTCCTTCTTTTTTGTGTTTGTAACACCTCTAATCTTCTGGCACTCATATGACCTTATGCAGTTGCGAGTGCCGTAAAAGTCTTACTAAAACTAAACTTAAAACCAAAGTGTTATTCCTCAGCTATATGTCTGTCAAGTATGCTGACAAAGGAGGTCAGAGCAACCCTCAGGGGCTGGGCCCTGCAGACTCCGTGGAGAAAGATGAAGTGGAAGCTGAAATAGAACAACGCATCTTGAGCAGAGTGCAGGTGGAAGGTGAGGCTGCTGTAAAGTGATAAGTAAATAAATACTTAAATAAATAAATAAATAAATGCATACATACATACATACATACGTAAATAAATAAATAAATAAATAAATGACTAAATAAATAAATAATTGAATACATACACAAATAAACAGATAAATAAATAAATGTGAGGCAGCGTGATGGAATCAGGCTCTCGTCAATTTTTGGGCGTGTAGACTTATTGGTATCATCTTAAAGTTTGTTCACTTGCCTTTATTTGGATGAAAAAAATACCCATTTATCTTGTGTACAAGTCGAGATATTTGCAAATGAAGGAGGTGGGGGCCACCTGTTTTCAGAGGTAAAATTAGTGAGAAAATGGCCGCCAAAGATTAGTTATTTCCTTAGCTTAAGAGTATGTGTTAACTGAAAATTTACATTTTTTGTGCCTTTAGTCAACGTTTTTCAGAAAAATACCCACAGAAATGAGATCTTAAATGGGCATGAAAGGTGTTGAGCCAAAAATCTTTTTTAAAATAAAAATTCACAAACCTGCGGAAAAATGCAAGTTTCTTCACTTTGATTATTTTGACGAGAGCCTGATTCCACCACGCTGCCTCACAAATAAATAAATTCATTGATCCCCATATACCAAGAATGCCGAAGACACAATATTACATCAATGCAGAGTTTTTAAAGATATGCTAGTGCTGGTTGCCGCTTTGCAGCTTCCTGTTTTTTTTTTTCTTGTTTTTTTTTTGTTGTAAGCTTGGGTTATCATGTCTTGCTCATGGTGACACTTTCAGTTATGAGTTATGGCCTTTCAGTTATGAGCTGGACAGTCTGACCAATCGACCACCGACACCGCTATGTTCTCACAAATAACATATTATGTGAGGCAGAGTGGGGAAATCAGGCGCTCGTCAAAGTAATGAAATCAGAGAAATCGGCATTTTTCCGATGAGTTGCAATTTTTATCCAATTTTTGTTCTTTGGCTCAACACCTTTTATCTCCATTAAAAACACATATCCGTGCTGATTTTTCTGAAAAACGATTGAGGGCACAAAAAATAAATTTTCAATTTCCAAGGACTTTCAAGCTTTCGAAGTCACCAAATTTGGTGGCTAATTTTACCGCTGAAACCAGGTGACCCCCAACTCCTTCAGTTGCAAATATCTCGACTTTTATTCAAGTTAAATGGGTATTTTTTTCATCAAAATATGGACAAATAAACAAGCTTTATGATGATACCAATAACTCTGCATGCTCAAAAATTGACGAGCGCCTGATTCCGCCGCGTCGTGACACATATGCCCTCTATCCTCAGATGAGGAACTGAAAAACGTGACTCTCGAACAGCTCGACCAGAAGATTACCGAGATGAACATCACCTGGAAAGTAGACCGGGCCACTCTTCCCTCTGCTCCTGGTCTGACGAAACACAGTAAGTTCACGTACCGATGGTGTTGACTGCAAACTGGCCGCCTTTGTTCATTAAGTTAACTCTTTCACTACCGTGAACGTGTTTCACGGCTCTCCACTTCCTGCTTCCAAACCACGCCTACTTTTGTAATAATCATATCTGAAATCTCAGGCGGAAGAATGATCGTTTTTAGCAGCATGTTGAGATAGGTCATTATTTCCCCTTTAGTTCCATATTTAATACATGTGGCTAACATTTAAAATTCATCTTAAAATCTTTTAATTTGTCTGACAGCAGGCAGAATCAGAAAGTAGGTCACACACAGATAGGGCCTGGTCCAGGTGAGGAAAACCCCCTGGTAGTGAAAGAGTTAAGGCTTTTTTTTTTTGCGAGAGATGGGAAAAACCTCTTATTTTGTCTGTTTGCTTCTATCATTTAATGGAGTGTCTGTAGCTTTTAGAGCACTTCTACTTAAAAAAGATCGAAAACATTCTCAATATCTCGTTTTAGGGGAAAAGCTTTACTTCTAAACTGGCCATAAAGAATCAAGTCGGAGTCAGTTGAATCCGTCCCTCAAATTCCACTGAACACCTCATAATGTAATGCCTTTAAAAAAAATTAGAGAACAGAAAGGAACTCAATCTGAATCCCAAAACTGGCCAGTTGTATCTCACACCACTGATTTTTCTTTTTAAATTTTTCATTGGATACTGTTTGTTTGTTTGTTTTTTTTTCTATTTGTGCCAATACATTTTTATTGAAGAAGTTGAATGCCCTTCCTTCTAGACCCAGAATGTATTGTCAAGATAAGATAAGATAAGATAAGATAAGATACATCTTTATTGTCCAGATCCTGGCACATTGGTTTGGTGTTTCATCACATGTACATTCACACACACACACATACACACATGCACACTTACACACACATGCACACTCACATGTGGGCGCGCACACACACGCACACACATGCACACACATGTAGGCTTACAATCACATGCATAATATAATTGAGCAGCAATATAAACAATAATAATCGTAAGCTAGATATACATTCAATGTTATTTTGATGCATGCTCTAAGGTCGTAAGTATACTTGTACAAGATGGTTAAGATGGAAGCATTTTGATAGATGATTGTCAAAATGACAATAACTGAGAAAAAACACAAAATAAGCACAGAGCAAAGTGAACACTCCCGGTCGCCACAGAGTAGCGCCCAACAGAAAGTTTTAGTTTTAGTAGAGGTTTTACGGCGCTCGCAACTGCATAAGGTCATATGAGCGCCAGAAGATTAGAGGTGTTACAAGAGAGTAACAAACATAAAAAAGAAGGAGGGGAGATAAGGACGATAGATGTTTGATAGGAAAGAAGAAGCAAACCACACCAGAGCACCCGCCAACCACCCACGCCCAACAGAAAGCTCTTAGATTTTTGACAGGACACCAAACATTATAGAAACAATCCAGGTATGTTGTGAAATGTTCAGACCTCATGATTTAGAATCGGTCTTTAGGAATTCTGGAGATGGAAAATGCACAAAATAATTGTATAGATTTGACACCCATTGTAACACTCTAAAGTTACTTAAGAGGTGGAAACTCTGAATTTAACCCTTTCCGTACGTCCTGGGGTCATTTTGTACCCCCGGGGTTGTATTCTTCACATTTTAGAATACCTCTAGTGGGAAGATCTCATTGAAATTTTCAGTATTTGTCAAAAAAATCATTTTGACGACTGCTATGCAAAGCGTACGGATCGGATTAACGAGTAAATTTCCTCTTGGAAAGTGATGGCACAGAGTTCCCCACGTCGTATGGATACGATAGTAAAACACAACGTACAGATAGGGTTAATGTCTATCTCCGATAGGACCAAGCCAAGTGGAAAAATTTGTGTCAAGTACCTTTCCCAGTGACACATCATTGTACCGAGCTGAGCCCTGAACCCCCGAAGTGTTTATTAAGTCCAGTGCCAGCTGAGGCTCTGTTGCTGGTACATCGCAAGCAGTTAGTTGTGTACTTGACTATCACGTACGGTGTGTCCTTGGGAAAGGCACTTTGCGCAAATTTACCTCATTTCACCCAGGTGGGAATAGGTACCTGGCTATATAGACAGGGAAATATCTTGTCAGTTTGTTAGTGTTTGAATGCGTGCAATCCGCAGCTTGCACTGTATGCTTCCCGGGAAGCCGAGAATATTTCTGAGTGTTCTAGAGTCTTCTGGGGGTAATAATGGTTGTAAAACGCATTTAGTATGCTGTAGAGTGTGGATATGTGCTATATAAATGCAACTAGTATTATTATTATTATTATTGTCTTACAGAATTTTCTTCTTGTGTCTCTGTTCCAGAAGCTACGATCGACACTGCCCGGAAAAAAGCTCGCAAAACTTTCGTCCTCCGATGCCTGAGTCTGAGGAAGGTTTATCCCAAGATGCGCTTTCTGATGGACGTATGTGTACCCTAGGTTTCTTCCTGTTTTGTATGTTTGTGTGTGTGTCTTCTTCTTCTCGATCCCATCACTCTTGAAGTCTGGTGTCTGTCATAAACTGGGCCGTTCTGCCTAGTTCATCTGTCGGCCCGTACGGCTTCTCTTATAATGTCTGCAATTGGGTTGGCCTCGTTTCCTGTCTCCCACCCCCCAGGGCAGTGCTACTGACTGAAGTGTCTTTAGGCTATTCGCAAAGGGGGGACAATAACCATGTTCTTATGCACAGTAGAATTGTAATTGTAAATGGGCTGACTCATCAATGTAGTATTCATAACTTTTCCTGAACTGCAACAGGGTACTGCTGCTTTTTCCTTCTTAATCCTTACTATCGTCATTTTCCTCTACTTCTTTTGTATGTTTGTCATTATCTTGTGACCCGCTATTTCCAGGGTTCCTTAATAGTCGAAGCAGACTTTGTGTTGTTGAAGCTAGAGAGGTGAGCAGGGTAAGTTTGATTCCCTGTAAGGACTTCTCTGTTGACATCCACCCCCTGGCACTTATATGACCTTATGCAGTTGCGAGCGCCGTAAAACCTCTACTAAAACAAACATTACCGCATCCATTGGCAGGATCTTTTTGGCTTTGAGAAGCAGAAAGGCCAGAAAGAGACGATGTGTCGCAAGTCCTTCATGAAGATGATGTCAGAGCTGTACAAGGAGGGCCACCTTTACTACGTGAAGGCTTACTGTAATGTGGCCCCTCAGTCCACTGTGAGTACACTCTTACCGTTAACAAAAAACCAACTTGCTTCGCAAGCTTTGTCTTGTCTCATTTTGGGTCGGCTTCTTTTGCTTGAGCCCAATCCTTTGCAATCTTTTGAATACCAAGGCCCCAAGATCTGGAATGCTTTACCAAGTACTTTAAGAGAGATCAAATCTTTTGATTCATTCAGATGTCAGCTGAAGTTGTTTCTGTTTTTAGATTAATAAGATGGATATTTGGAATAGTTTTCTTTAGTCAGAACACGTCGTTTTATGTTACTGTTGTCTTTTGTACATTGTACTGTATTGTAAAGCGCTCAGAGCCTGTGTACTTTAATCGGGGTTGAGCGCTATATAAATGTCATTTATTATTATTATTATTAATCTTCTTTTTAAAAAAATCTCACTGTCAGTTTACTGTTGTTTGGTTCTCCTTCATAATGCTATAATTCTGATAGTTTTTCTTGAGACGAAGTTAATTGTTTGTTTTTTCCCCCCCAGCTCCAGCATACTATAGTTGACGCGAGTGTGGATGAAAATGACCCTCGGTTGAGGAGAGCTCTCCTGTACATCAAAACAGATTTCCTACGTCACAGATTCAAGGCTGCACCTCAGCGAAATGTCCAGACTAAAAAAGCAACACATGCCAAGGTGAGAGAAGGTCGGATGAGTTTGTAAGTCTTCACCGATTTCTTTTTTGCTTTGTGGGAAAGGCTTTTTATTGAAAATTTCTTCTATTCACCTAAGTGAAAATGGGTGCATATCTTAAGATAGTGAGAGCTCTTGTCAACATGTTTGTGTTCGAGTGCCTGTGAAATGGAAGCTAGCATCGAAAGCTTTCCAGGAAACTGAGAATGTTCTGGATTGTTAAAGGGTCTGTTTGGCTTGTTAACGGATGGTCTGGATGTGGTTTGCTCCTTCTTTCATATCAAATATACATCATCCTGATCTCTCCTCTTTCTTTCTGGACCCCCCGGGGCGGTGCCACTGACTGCAGTGTCTTTAGGCCATTCCCAAAGGGTGGACATTTCTCGTTCTAGTGCACAGTAGTTGTAAATGGGCTGATCCAACCATGTCATGCTCATAACTGCCTGAACTACAACAGGGAACTGCTGCTTTTTCTTTCCTAATCCTAACTATCGTCATTTTCCTCTTCTTCTTTTGTATGTTTGTCACACTCTTGTGACCGGCTATTTCTGGGTGCCTTAATATTCGAAGAAGACTTTTTGCTGTTGAAGCTAGAGAGGTGAGCAGAGTAAGTCTGATTCCCTGTAAAGACTTCTCTGTTGACATGCACCCCTTGGCGTTCATATGACCTTATGCAGTTGCGAGCGCCGTATATCCCTCTACTAAAGCTAAAACTAAAACTTTCTGTCTGGTTTTTGTTACTCTCTTGTAACACCTCTGATCTTCGGCACTTATATGACGTTATTGTGTTGCGAGTGTCGTGTCGTAAAACTCTTTATAAAATAAAACAATGGGTCTGTCGTGCTAAAAATATATTGTAAATTGCAAAGAGCCAAATTTCTACTAGGGATATATTCTATAATATGTATGGAAGCAGTTATACTTATAATAATTATCATTGTGAGGATTATTAGTCTTTAAAAAAAAGTATTATTATGCAGTTTAGCACATGATAACTCAAGAGATTTGGACTTGTATCAACTGGAAGTGATGGTCTTAGCTTTTGGCATCAGCTATCAGTGTTATTATTATGCAGCTCAGCCAAAGACGTGTCAGAGTTTCTGTGTGTATGTCAACCTTTACTGACATAAGATGTCTTGATGGGAGCTCCAGTGGCTAAGTGTTGGTGGTTGGCGGGTGCTCTGGTGTGGTTTGCTCCTTCTTCCCTATAAAAAATCTATCGTCTTTATCTCCCCTCCTTCT